ACACACACACACACACACACAACACCAATGTATCTGCTTCTAAATGCCTAATTAGATACAATGCCAATTAATGGAAACAATTTAATTTGCCCTTTTTGCTTGTGTTGCAATCTTCTTGATAAGTGGCAAAAATAATCAGATAATTATATGGATAAACTTAGATAAAAAATTCACTCTAATGAAATAGATTTGAAGATGCCATAAATTTATGAACTGTTTGTAAATGGCTATAATAAGGCATGAAATGTTGCTATTATCTCTGAGTCCAGATAGTCTGATAAAGTACTATAGTTTCTTTCTGGGTCAACTGACTCTTATAGTATCATTCCTTAACAAAACAGCCAGCCACCAAGTATTCTTTGGGTTAGTTAAATAAAATCACCAATTTACGACTGCTGTGTTAATGGTTAATTGCATATTTTAATGGAAAATGGTATTTCATAATTAGCTATCATAATCCTTACAGCAGGAGTATGAAATACACACATACATACACAAAGAGAAAGATACACACAGAGAGACACACAAACATTTGAAATTTGGAAAAAGTGTCCTGGGCAGCAGCAGAAGTTTTATGGGGACGGAGTCAAAAAAGACAAAATGCTGATCACAGCAATGTGATTGATGTTCTAGCCCTTCTTATATGAGTTGATGTCACATGCATAGGCAAAGAGACAGGGCTTCAGTCATGTTGTCACGACTGTCATAATGCTGTTTCTGAATGGTCTAATGGCAGTAGATAATGCTCCATTATAGATAGGAAAAATTTTATGCACAGAATTTAATCCACCTATTTAGCTACTTTCTTTGGCTTCATGCTGTTTCTCTTTGCATGTATATTTGCGTGAGTCAGTGTGTATGTATGTGTCTCTATTGGCTTTATTCTCTTTGGTAATCTTCACAGAAGTGTTCTGACCCAAACCCTTTTCCAGTAAGACAAACAATAACCAAAGGGAACAGAAACCTTTTAATGAGTCTTACGAATCCGCGGTTAAAAGGCTGCTGCAAACGAATTAATTTTGATAAACAAAACCTTGCCCAAACTGTACGAGACTGCCAAGAATCACAGATAAGAAATATTTCACAACACAAGAGTCTTCAAACACCAAATTAAGACACTGTAATGTCCACGAGGCTGAGTTTTAAAACATTTTGCTTCCTGCAAAGAACATTCGCTTCACAGCTGCCTTTTATCTTCTTGAAGGAGGGGCCATTACCTTGCAGCCTTACTCCTGAGTCGCCCATGCTGTTTCAGCTGCTCTTTCCTGTGAGCAATCCTGCACGCACACGCACTTGGCACAGGCTCCTTGGGAACCTCCTCATCACTGTTGCCAACCCCCACAATCTCTGAAGGCAGCAATCCATTCCCTAATGGTCCTGGTCCCTCATCTGAGTTCTCGGTCTCCTCAGCTGTCTGCACCTGCTGCTGGCTAACCACAACAAGAAGAGGCAAAAGAATAAATTCAAAATGCATGCTGGGCATTAAGAAACACCTCATGTTGTTCTAGGAAATGGCTCTGCTAACATAATATAGAGCTTAGAATAACACAGTTGGAAGGGATCTTCGGGTCTTTTAGTCCAAACCCCTGCTTGAGCAGGAGACTCTATACTATTCCAGGCAAGTGGCTGTCCAATCTCTTCTTAAAAACCTCCACTGATAGAGCACCCACGACTTTTGAAGGCAAGGCAAACTTGCATTGATTCATTGTTCTAACTGTTAGGAAAATTCTCCTTAGTTTTAAATTGTTCTGTTATAAAAATTGTCCTTAGTTTTAGATTGCTTCTCCCCTTGTTTAGTTTTCATCCATTGTTCCTTAAAGGAAGGGGCCATGATATGCAAAGGTGTGTCATCATCCCAGGGTAGAATTAAGCTCCTAATTCGCATTCTCCTGATATCAAAATTCCTTCAGTCAACCACTGGGATAATCTGGAAGTGAGTTTAAATTAAAAAGTCCTGCATGTTCTGTGCAAAGAGCATGAAAGTCACTGAAGAAAAGCTCTTTCAATAATTTCATAGGAAAGGACCCCCTCAGAATCACAACATGAATTTCTATTCAGTGAAAAGATGTGTTCTCTATGTTTAGTTTAAAATGACTGAGGAAGAAATTTCCTTCCTGACATGTTATAAGCAAATTGCTATTTCATATGTTTCCACTGGGTTTTTTTTCCTGTAACCTAGCAGCAAATAAATATAATTTAGGATTTTACTGAGTTTTGTAAAATAATTTCAGCTTCGGATTTTTGTTGCCTTTTTTTTTTACAAGCTATGAACCTGGTTAGGTTTGTATATCATAGTACTATCTGTATCATTACTTTAGGCCTAGAAAATCAAGGCCCTTAAAGCCTCCAATGACCAGTGCTTGCTTTGCTTAAGTTTAATAAAACCTTCTTATTCCTCACACAAATCACTGGCATCTTTGCACCAGATAAACATATTGCTGTTTCTCTTTCATGGCTGTTTCAGAAGACAAGATTATTTACAGGTTAGTTTCATGAAGACTGTATCACTTTTATAGTTGTTTTGTGCTAGTCTATTTGTTTTTATGCTTGAAGTCACCTCTGAAGGTATCCGGGATCTAATGATAGGAAGGACCATGAATCCAATTGTAAAATTACCCCATAAACTGCATTTTGGTTTTGTTTCCAGGCACAAGCAAAGTACAATTGTCTTTCAGGAGAAATACTACAGGCTTTGCATAACGTAGTGCAGTCAATGTCAGAACCAGAGATTGTTTGATTGCTCCAGAAACCTGACATTTGTTGGGATTGTTGCTGAATACTGCTAATGTAATTGGATACTCTGTGTGTCTGTGTCTGTGTGTGTTTGGTAATACTCTAATAAAAATATCAGTTTGCAGCAATATAATAAGGAATTAAAATGACTACCAGCTTCACTGGCCAGTGCTTCTTCTAGTTCTCGGTCCTAGTTTTTGGTGCGAGTGCTATGGGGCCAGAACTCTTAGTGTCTGACCTGGCTAGAGAAGGCTCACTAGCAGAAATCAATTTATCTAGTTTTCCCCGAACTTTTAAGTCAGAGCTGCAGTATGCCTTCTATAAGCTTCTCATCCATTTGTCTGCAGTTATCTCTCTTTTTTTCTTTGTTTGATTATCTCAAACTGTTTTTCAGTCTTCCTTCCTTGTCTTCAAACAGATAGTGTTCTTCTAAACTGGGCAAGTTTCAGAAGTGCTGAATGTCATTGGAGTTTTGTAGTTTCTCGAAACATCAAAGTTTAAGAAAACAATTTTAGCTGCTAGAGTGCATTTTTCACAAGCATGTGAAAACGGGAGGCTTATGAAAGGAGTGACCTTGTAAATAATGGAATGTGATGCTTAAATACAATTTTGCAGTGGGTTTTAATGAGATACAGTATTTCAAAAAATAAACACTTTTGTTGACATTGGTCAAGTCTAGAAACTATACACTGAATTGGAACAATAGCTAGAAGCATTACATGACCTGTCTTGGAAGTCAGATTTATTAACACAGCACAGCATTGCCAGAAACTGGCAATCTAGGCTCACTTGACTAAAAATTCCTATCATCCACAGCCTTCATATCCATTGGCCCTTATTGGGTGGGGAACGGGGTCCATCACATTTGGAGAGCATGAGATAGAGATAATCTGGGATTTTAAAAAACCCTGTGATTTTATCATGAAAATTCAGTTCTTTTTGTGATTTATTTTACTGTTTGTTTGTGTTCATGCCTTTATGAATTTCGCTTCCTTTTTATTGTTATTTTTAAGTCTATTTATATTGTATGACAAGTATTAAGTATCTGTATTTCACAGTTTCATGCTTTTATGCATTTATAATCACATTCAATTTTGACACTTTCCTTTGATTTTAAAAAATCTCCCCAACATACACACACACACACACACACATAAATTTTAAATTCTGAGAACTGCAGTGCAATATTGGAAAAATGTGTATTTATCATAGAACCAAAAATACAACACCAGAATCTACGATTCTATTTCTCACCATGTTTTCTTACTTACTATGTCTAGAGTTATCCCTGCTCCCTTCTCTTTGTGTGATGCCCATGGACAGAGGTCTTTGCAAAGCAAATGAGAAACGATTCTTCTATAATCTAACTATTGGAAGATGCCGTCCATTCAGCTACACTGGATGTGGTGGGAATGAAAATAATTTTACTTCTAGGAAGGCATGTGTGAAGATGTGTAAGAAAGGTATAGTTGCAAGCATTTGTGTTGAAATATTCTTTGCTAAAGTGTTACTGCAAGATCCAATCTGGGTCGGTCTCTGGGACCAATGGTTTTCTCTTCCAAACTTTTGAACTTGTGCTGAAGTCCATCTTCAGGGAACTTCTCTCTATTGGAATATGTACTGGAATAGGAGAGAAGTTCCCTGGAGATGGACTCCAGCACAAGTCCGAAAGCTCAGAAGGCTAAACTTCTGGTCCCGGTGACTGACCCAGATTGGATCGAGCAACATTATCCTGGGACACATATAGTTGCCTTCATTCGTAAATTATTACAACTGAGTACACAAGTCAAAGAAGTTTGTTATGTTATTCATTTTAAACAAATGCATGGTCTGGAAGCCCAGAACACAACTATTAGCACAGCTCAATAGGAAAGATTCACACTGTCTCATGGTAGGAATTTAAGTGCAACACACAAGCCTTTAAGATTTCAATAACAACTAATCAGTATGCTTTGTTAATCTAATGGGCTGGAAACCTCCTAAGATGTTGCTAAATTTTCACCTTCTCTCCCTATCAATGATGCTGGCTATAGCTCTTTGAATTGTATTTTGACATACTCACGAAGGCCCCCCATCCATGTTCTATTTCGAAGCATCTCTTGAATGCCACATATAGTGAGGGGGTAGTGGCTTAAGCACCTGACTTAGGATCCTAGAAGCTTGATATTTGAGCCTTGGTGGCACAGTGGTTAGAGTGCTGTACTGCAGACTACTTCTGCTGACTGCTGGCTGCCTACAATTTGCCAGTTCAAATCTCACCAGGCTCAAGGTTGACTCAGCCTTCCATCCTTCCAGGGTGGGTAAAATGAGGACCCAGATTGTTGGGGGCGATATGCTGATATGCTTAGAGAGGGATGTAAAGCACTGTGAAGCGGTATATAATTCTAAGTGCTATTGATATTGCTATTCTGTTGATTTCATTAATTCTTATTTCAATAACCTAGTTCACACTAATTTATAAGACTATGGAATATATCTAGGGTTTGGGACATATACAATGCACTGATCTCTATACAGGAAGAATGGAATACACTTGTGATAAATAAAGAGAGCCTGTTTGGTGTAGTGGTGAAGGTGGTAGCCAAGAAATCAGAAGACTTTGAGTTCTAGTCCTGTTTTAGGCATGAAAGCCAGCTTGGTGACTTTGAGCCAGTCTCTCTCTCTCTCTCAGCCCAACGTTGAGTTGTTGTGGGGAAAATATAAGGAGGAAGGTGTATTCGGTACATTCACCACCCTGAGTTATTTATAAAGATAATAAAGGCAGGATAAAAAAATCTTTTTAAAAAGTCATCTGGAAGAACTCCCAGTTAGGGATAGATATAACTTTTATTTTTCCAGAGGGCTGGAGATGATTCCAAAGAGAACTATCCCCTTGTGCTTTTGATATGAGCTTCCATTCATTCTATAGGCTACCCTATTTTTTTACAATTCTTTTACAAAATAAAACAATAAAAAATATGAATGAATGAAACTTTAAAAAGAAGAATTTGGAGAAACAACACCAAAACATCACACAGTTGTTCTATTACTTACTGTAACCCAACACTGGGGGGGGGGGGGCAAGCCTTGAGGGCTTGTTTAATTAAGGTCAGGGTAGGGATTATACAAATCTTGAGGGGAATAGTATTCTAGAGGACAGGTATCATGATAAAAGAAAGCCACTTCCTGGGTCCTCCCACCCAAAAGAGCATGCTGTGCCTTTCGGTTTGCTAATCTTTTATTTGTCCGAATAGAAATGGGTAGGTACATCAAAGGCATCAATATCCCTGTCATAATGCTTTCAGCTACCTGAACAATTGCTATATATTGTCAGTCCTAAATTGTGACAGCTGTTTTTTTTTAATGTTCCCAATTCAAGGAGTTTGTAATATATAATTAGGGGGAGAAAGAAGCAACAAAAGAAAAGGCGGGAAATTGAGGTGGAGACAGAAAGAGAAAAATATGGCACGCTGTTTAGTACATTTCGTCATTTCTTTTCTTTTCTCCCAGGTTTCATTTCAAAGAAGGGACAAAAAGGTGTCATGAAAATGAGTCGGAAAAGAAAGAAACAACTAGTCAAGCTGATGGATAGGGAAATTGTTATTGAAAGGATTTAAGCACTATATAATTAAACTGCTCTGAAAAAGTTTCATTTGAAGACATCTACTATTCTTGTATTACCCACTTTATTTAACATTGTGCATATTTATCAAGGTTTCATATAGCAACCTTGATGTCTTTCTATTCCCTTAGGGATTTGCCAGGCAGAAGCCAACCTTTTTACTGTAAAATTAATGCTGTGACTTTTTTTTCTATGATTGTTACATAGAATTGCAGAATAAAAGGCTGTGACCCAGAGCTAGCTCACTTTATCTTCTTAATCTGACACTATCTAATCACTCTGATTTGTACATGATACAGAATTTGCTGAATATACAGGATTGTGACTGCAGATCAATCTGTTTTATTCCCACGAGGTGATTGATTTGCCTGATTCCACGCTGTATGGATCCTTGGACAATAGAATACTGGTATTCCTCGACTTACGACTACAACTGAGCCCAAAATTTCTATTGTTAGTGAGACATTTGTTAAATGGATTTTGACCAATTTTATGACTTTTCTTGCTACATTTGTTAAGTGAAATCATTGCACTTGTTAAATTAGTAACACAGTTGTTAAGTGAATCTGGATTCCCCATTGACTATGCTTGTCAGAAGGTTGCAGAAGTTAATCACATGGCCCCAGGATCACTGCAACTGTCATAAATATGAGTCAGCTGCCAAGCATCTGAATTTCGATCACATGACGATAGGAATACTGTAATGATTGTTAGTATGAAAAACAATCATGTCACTTTTTCAGTGATGTTGTATAACTTTGAACAGTCAATAAATGAACTGTTGTAAGTCGAGGACTACCTGTATTGGACTCCTTTGGATATATTTTAATCATTGACCCTTTATGACAATTAATACAGTTTAGAAATTTCAATCATTAGGTACTCTAGAATCGAGAAATTTAGGAAAAGAAATTTAGTTAAATTTAGCAGAGAAATGTTAACATCAGCTTATTGCAAATGTAATAAATCTTGAAAATAAGATGGATGGTGTTTTGTTACAAAAATATACAAGAAGAAATGAATAAGAAGTGCTTTCCAGGTCACAAAAGTCAAGACTTCAATTTCATTTAAATTTCTATTTTAAAAGCCAAAGGTTTAAATAAACACACGGTTTAGTACAACTGTACAAAAATCTGGATTCAGTGCAAATCCCAAAAATGCTTTTTCAAGAGGCAACTGAACTTTCTGGTTTTCCTCTGAAGATGTTTCACTTCTCATCCAAGTTTTTTCAAAGAAAACCCAGGAAGTCCAGTTGCCTCTTGAAAAAGCACCTTTGGGACCTGAATGATTAAAGAATCCCCATAAGACATTCAGTCCAAATGGGTGCACAACTAGCACCTTCAGAGGTTTTTTTAAAGCAGTCATATCAAGATTGACTTCTTTGTTTTTTTTAGTGTAAATATTCTATCAAAAGCAATATATAAAGCCCTGATATTTAGGCATTTGTGTATTTTACTGCAGGTTTTTAAACTCATTGCTTCTTTTTTAAAAAGATAAATCAGATTAATTCATTTTACTTTCTATAAATATGTACTACCAAATTCTATATTTAGTAAACAGCTTTGAATTTACTTTATCCCTTTATCATATATAAGAATAGTCAAGAACACTGTTTTTTAAAAATATATGTTATATTCATAAATACATAATGTACTGTTACATTTCTTTTTTATCAGGTCAATGTCTTCAAGATGTATATAAACTCTCTTTAGTCTTTCTATCAAATCACTGTTTTTAATTAAACTTGGGTTGAATTAGGAAAGGAGGGCACTAAGAAATCTTTACACCCAGGAGGGAATGAAATAGAGCATGTTAAATGATTGTGTATAGAAAAGAAGAGAGTGAACCTGAAAGAAGAATTGAGGATTGGTATTTGTGGGGAATTGTGATGAAATGCTCATTTGACTCAGAGACAGCACAAGAAAAGGCTGAGGAAAGATATTTGATTTCTGGGGAGGTTCAAGTCAGAAACAGAAATTCAAAAAAACTTATTGAATGTGTTACTTGAACTAAGGGGCCTTGTACAGGCCTTCAAGATTCTGTTACAATATCCAAACCACATTAAACTTTATTCCAAAATTTGTAGTAACTGTGTGTTTATTTATTTCAATTTTGAGACTGTCCAACTCCTCAATGACTGTGGGCAACCAAATTTAAACAAAACTAAAGTGAGTAGAAGGGAATAAATAAGTCCTGGGAGAACAACCAGGTTGTGAGTAAATGACAGAGCAATATAAGGATGGGAAGTTATGATGGAGAGAGGGGGCATTCTAGAAGACAGGTATTGCAATCAAGTAACTAACTCCCAGATCTTGTAAGATGGTGAACTAGATATGCCTAATCTAATGAAAAGAAGGACTAGGGGTGTTACAATAGCAGTCTTCCAGTACTTGAGGGTCTGATCCATTCTCCAAAGCACCTGAGGGCAAGGCGAGTATCAAAGATAATCCTAGAAAACCCAAATTCCTAGAATAAAGGAGAAATATCCTGACAGGACAATTAATCAGGACAATTAGACAGGACAATTAATCAGTGAACATCTTACCTCTGGGAGTTGGAGTTGGTCCATCATTGAAGGTTTTCAAGAAGAGATTGAACAGCTATTTGTCTGGAATGCCACAGGGCTTGAGCAGGGGTTGGACTAGAAGACCTCCAAGCTTCCTTCCAATTCTGTTGTAGTATATCATATACTGTATGTTGTATGTTGTTTAATAAATGGGACCTGGCATGTACTCACCCTACTTTATCTGACCAGACAGGCATAAACATTTGGAGATAAGCAGTCCACTATCACTTCCCATTATCTTGATACTATACCTCTATGGATGCATCCCAAGATTGTATCACTATCTTTAGCAGCTGCAGCACACTGCTGACTCGTGCTTAATCTCTCAATCTACCCAGACACAAGACTCTCACAAGTACTACTGCTGACTTCAATAAGACCAATGTTGTACATGTGCATCCAGGTTTTTTTCTACTTTAGTGCAGAACTTTATGTTTCTTATGCTTAAACTGTGTAGATCCATATCAAGTCTATCAAAAAAGTTTTTTTTAACCTTTGTCTTTCTTTATCGGGAATTTTAAAAAATAAATAAAAAAGCAAAGGAGTGGAAAAGAATAAAGAAAAATATGAAATGAATAAATGGAGAATTTATACATTTTCAGTATTTCACTAATTGATTTTAAGTGACTGAATACAGTCACTTAATACAGTTTTGAAAATGAGGTCACAATTAAAGTCCAATTATACAAATATCAACAGTAGTAGTATATTATAAATAACAAAATAAGATTTACAACTTATATTAAATTCTATTCAGGCTACTGAAGATTTCATAGTTACAATATTAAAACATCACCCCAAATTTCTGATATTGTATTTGCATTCTGACAGGTTTATGTTTTTTTCCAAATTGTATTTTCAATATTGTATCCTGAAGACACATAACGTCCTTTTCTAGTCTAATTTTTGAAAGAAAATGGCTATTCAACCCATCTATGGCTATTGATCCATAGTTTTCATATTAATGAAGAAGTAGCAACTGTCTGGTCTCACTTTGGGATTGTACCTGACCTTAGTCTTCATTCCCTTGGTCTGAAGCATCCAATGACTGGAACGTTTTGTCATGCCCCTGTCAGAATCTTACTCAGAGGGGGAACCTGAACAGCTGACAGGGAGTGGGAGTATGGCTGTGGAAGAAATTGGGGAAGGGCAAAGTCCAGCTGGGCAGAGCATGGGAGAGGTAGAGCAAGGGAGAGGGAATTCAGAGGAAGACCCAGACCCACCCCCTCTTCATCCTAGGGCACGCAGGGAAGAATGGAGAAGGGAGCAACATCATTTGCATGGCTTACGGGGGAGGAAAGGGCCCTGATTCCCTTCATTAGCTGCAGCTGGGAACACAGTATTTAAAAGGGAAGCTGCATGCAGCAAGCTGTTGGGAGCAAACATGAATTTATCTTGTATCGTTATCTTGTATTGAAGCAGTGGCAAAAGAGCATATAAAGCACTTTTCATATAAAGCATATAAACCACTTTTTATATTTAGTATAGGTCAACAAGTCATATTTAGCACAGGTCCCAGCTTCCCATAGCTTGGCTTAACATAGCATTGTGTAACCCACAAGATTGCTGAACTCAGGAACTTGAATTAACCATGTTACTGTAAACAAGGGTGAACATGGAAAATAACTGGTAGCATAAGATAATTGAATAATCAAAAATATTGTTATTTCCTGTTTATACTTCCTTTGTAGAAATGTATGCAATATTGTCCTTATTTGATGAAATGTAGTATGAGTAACACCCAGGTCTATGCTGAGGTCATAATGGGTATAAAAATATTGTTTCAGGAAGAGCTGGGGGTTCAGAATTTGCCATGTTAATGCTCTGAACACTGCACAAATAAAACCTGTATTCTCCAACCTTTCGTGGTCTTGTGTCCTGATTTGGAAGCAAGATTTGCTGCTACAGTATCATCGTGGCTTACCTGTGTTCCTGGCGTTTTTCCAACTGTGTGAGTTTGCTTTCAAGTCTGAAATTCCTTCTCCTGCCCTGTCAAGCTAATTACTTCAGCTTGGTTTGTTTGGATTTTTAGTTACAGTTGTATGTACCTTGTTTTGGACTGAATTTTGAACAGTTAAAGGCTGTTCGTGGGAGAGTTTTTCTCTAGCTGAAGGTAACCTGGACATTGGGGGGCAAAGTTGGAGATAATAAAGGGGCTCTTATTGCTTATATGACTGTGTTGCCTTTGTGCCATGTCATCACACATTTGGCATCATCAGTGGGATATAGAAAAACTTTGCCATCATCTATAAGGACTGCTAAATGGAATAAAATATCCCATATATATTAAAATCTAATATTTTTGTAGAAAAAAATTAGAAATCTCAGATTTCTCTTCTTTGTATGTATGTCTAGAAGTACATTTAGTAGAATCTTAGTAAGTGCACCTCCAAAGGGAATATCACTCCTTTTTAATTCCAGTATTGCTTCTTTTGTCTTAATATACATGAACAAGTATATGATGTAGCAATTTTCTCTTTTGTAGTACTTGTGGATTTATTGGGCATATTTTTGGGGTTTCCAAATTTTGATCTATATCCATGCCAAAATAAATTTTAAGTAAAAAAAAAATTAATTTCTCTTTCTAAATCCTCTTGCTAAAGTCCTCATGTATGTATGCTTGTCAACTTCATATTATTTTACGTATTTCTATTTTAGCTATTTTTAGTTTAGTTTCCAATTTGTTTAACTCTGGTTCTCTAAGGAGAATTAATGAGAGCTCCTGATATCTTGTCTGCAAATGCTAATTTCTTTATCTTGGTTTTCTAATTTAGTGATTAATTTGTCTTATTTTTTTCATTAATTCCAGTCTAAAGAGTTCAATTCCAAATCTTGGCCTTTTTTTCAATTAAATATCACTAAACTAACTGTAATATGTAGTGATATTATCTACCATTGCATGAAAGTAACTTGTAAAGAGAATTTTAGTTTGTGAGAAGGTAACAGAGATATCAAGATGGCTTTTTTCCAATTTTGTATT